CACTCTATAGGAATAAGGATAAGAATAAAATGGATCTGTAGGCTGACTTTCATGGGGGGTGGGGGGGCAGTGTCATTAGAAGTGGCTTATTAAGTAGCTTTGTTAACATTTTAGCCGTGCTAGAAGATGGTGTTGCTTTCCCCTCTCTTGGTTAGGCTCTCCTTTACATTTGGAAATGGCAGAAGTCTGTTACGGTGGTAGAGAGGGCGTAGTATTGATCTGTTATTATTTGCGTTCATTCAGCTGTAGGGAATGTGCCTCCCCTGCCTGTCAAGTTGTTGGGGTTTTTTTAAACCTTAATCCTTTTCTCTTCCTGCATATACGCGTTCATCTTCTCACAGGTTCTCTGTTTTGCCTGTAAGTAGATCAGGGCTCGAAGCCTGCTTGGTTGACCCCAAACTCCACAGACTTCTTGAGAAATTCTCTTTTGCTGGGTTTCCTGTGTCTTTCTGTTGTTGCTTGTTCAGTTACGTATTATTTCATCAAGATATTTTAAACTGTTTACTCATTATGGTAGAAAGAGAAGTGTATCACTTTTGTTTCTTTCTAGAGTTAGCCTTCCGTTTCTTTTGCAAATGTTTGCTTTGTTTGATGGCTGGTACTAAATCGTTGGGCTCTATTGAATTCAGCCTTTGCGGGGAGGGCGGAGCACTGCATTGTTTAATTAACTAATTTTAAAAACCTGCCTGTGTAGATACCAAATAATTTTTCTTTTCCCTGCCTGACTTCTTGCACAAAAGTAGACTAGAAACGAAACCGACGTGTTCGCTTGATGTGCCTCTTGGCCATAAGTAATTCTTCCGTGCAATATTTCTTGTCTCAGAGTTGTTTGTAAATTACATTTTAAATTCAGATTGTTTCAGCTGTGAGGGCCTGCCCCAACAGTTGCTGGTCCTAAGGGAAGAGTACAAGCGGAGGCCCTTACTGTTAAATATTTAAATTTAATAAAGTTCTCAAATTGAGAAATGAAATGTTCTAGTCTTCAGTCTCACAAATATACCATCATTGCAACAAAATAGAAAGATATATGTAGAGCTATTATTCTGACTGAGTGTTGGGAAAATATCAAAGATAACTGAATGCATTTATTATGGATATTTGATGACAGAATGGTGAATTTTGCATAAATAATAAT